AAAAATCTTAACCAAATGAATAAATTGAGAGATTTATAATAGGTGAAAACTCCTTGTATGGACAATAAGAGGTGAAATGCTAATTATTAATTATATTACAAGGATGCCAATATACACCCTACAATTAGACAGTTTTTTAAAAAATGAACTCTCTCATCAGGTTTCTTCTTTGAAAGGTTTCATCAATTTGCAGGTTGAGGTTTATTTTTGAAGTTCTATTTTAATTACTGTAAATCAGGCAACATGTAATTTCAATAGTCCGTATAAGAAACTGTGGGTATTTAACTGGCTCCTCAAGTACTGCACTGAACCACTTATTCTAAGTCTATAAAGTGATTAGCTGTCATAAAGCAGCCCATATACCCATCCCCACAGCTTCCGTAGGTCGAGAATAAAAATGAAAAACAAGTGAACACTCTACATCCAGATTAATTACTTTCTCTTGGGACACAGAATACAACATTTGCTTAAAAGCACTAAGTGCTTCTAAATATTTGATTAGGTAGGTTGTTTGGGATTAAGACAATCTTTCCACTAGTTTCTGAAACAAATTCTTTCCTTGAAAAAAAATCACATTATTCTGATTTTTCCCCATTTGTGAGACTGTCTACACATAAACACACACACACACACACACCATATCAAAGAAACATTTCAAACTCCCTAAGATAGTGACCAAAATTACCTTAATTTCACATATATTTTTTATATCCCATCTGCTTCCCAAAAGGATTTCTCATAGATGATGCAATTAAAAGGTATAAAATCAGACAATGAAAAGGGAAAAATAATCTGTTGAGATAAGCAGAGAAGAAGATGTCATTTGGCACCTAAAAAGAGAATTCCTACAACTGAGTATTAAATTTGGTTCAGATAACTGGGAGGCTAGAAGAGAAAAGTCAATGGATTATATGGCTTTAATTTTCCAGGAAGAAAAATAAGACTCATCTGGCAAGAGCACCCTTCTTCCTATAATTGCTTTAATTTCATTCATAAAAAAATGCATTGCATTATAAGACCCCTTGATCTAAGGTAACAAACCTTCCTCTGAAAAGCTCAGGGCCTGCACGTGATCGAGTATTCCTAATAAATCAAGCAGAATGGCTTGAAGGACTGTGTGAGACATCACAACATATGGAACACTTCCAAGAACAACTTCACAGTTTTTAATTATGTAACTCAAATATTTAGTATGAATTTGTTAGGACTTTAGAAAAACAAAAGTTAGATTACAAGGAAAAATTATTTGGCCTTTAAAATGACTGTTATCTTTCTTTTGAAATACAATTATTCATTCCTCCTCCTTGACTTTGTATTTCAGATTCTCAGAAGTGTCCCAGGTGATTCTTAGAATAAATGAAAAACTGAAAAAAGAAGAGGGAAAGAGAAGTGAAAAAAGACAAGCCTTCTCTTGCCACATTTGCGCATTTTCCTCATGGAGACTGTTGTCACAAGAAGAAATGATCGCGGTGGAAATGTCGGGAGGAGATTGACGTGCTGGGAAACCCTGCACTGCGCTGTGTAGCAGCTGGGAACCAACAGGACTAAACGGGCTGGTTCTGGAGAAGTGGGCGGTAGCCAGAGTCGCCTGACAGGTAAGAAGAACACACAGTGCAGGTGGTGGCTGGGTGGGCAGGCATCTGCGGATAGCAAAATTCCTCCTTCCCCCATCTGAAAAGTCTTGGCATATATGAAACTGGCTGCAGGGAGCCCAGCCACTGCACTGGGGTCAGAGCTGGGAAGTTTTGCACAGGAAGCTGAATATTAAAAAGTTAATCAATTTGAGCCAAAATAAAGAGTTTACAGAAAAATCCTAGTCTTGTAAGCTTGTAAGTCAGTGAGAAAACAGAATGAGAGAAGTATGACTTAAGGACATGAAACAAGCCCTGGATTGAGCTCCTAGACAGCAAGGAAACTTTGGCAAGGTGTGCACTTTTAAGACAAAGCAGCACAACCTGGAAGGTAAGCTCCTGGAAAACAAGAAGCCTCACAAGGAATGTTCAGGGCTGTGGATCCAGAAAGTAATTTGATCCTGTCAGCCCTTGATCTTGGCTCATTCATCATGCTGACTGTGACATCAACCCCATTCATGCCCTGGCATCAGCCCTAAGAGTACAGAATTGGTCCACTCCTCTTAATCCATTCCTGAAATTCACACTGGCCCTAACATTTGACCTCAGTTTCTCCAGGTCCTAATAAAATGATGTTCCTAGCTGCAGCTCCACCAAGGGTTACACCACACGTGAAGTATACAGAGTACATCGAGGCAGCTGTGACAGACCCGCCGGTGCCAGGGTAGGCAAGTAGTAGAGTTGGGTTTGCAAAGAAGACGAGGAAGTTGGTAGTGGGGAGAGATACACACGTATGTGTGAGAGAGCAAGACAAAGAGAGAGCGAGACAGAGAAACACACACAGAGAGAGGGAAAGGGAGAGGCAGAGGGAGAAGGGAAGGGGAGGGGCAGGGGGAGAGGGCTATCAGTGGATCCAGAGAATATTGAGATGGGGGAAAAAAAGGCAGAGGTGACAACCCCCAACACTCCACTGAACCCAGTTTTCATCCCGTTATTCCAAAGACCAATTTTTCAGTCCACTTTTCAGCTCTCTCTGCGGCACTTAATTGTGATGAAAATTCTGATGGCCCTCTATTCGGATCTGCTTAATTTCTTTCTGTCCCTTCTCAATGGGGACCATGTGCTCCTCATCCTCTGTGTTCCTCAAAAACAAACACTGTATTTATAAAAATGCTCTCCTGACCCTCAGCTCTTTCTTATATACATGCCCTTTTGAGTGAGGGCCTCTATTTTATCTGTATTCTGATCATTTCCAAATTCAAACATCTAGCCCCAATGTTTCCATTGAACTGCTCCTGTGCATGCATGGACTTGCCATCTCACATGACCTCAAATGCAGTGTGCAAATGCACTGTCCTCCACACCAAGCATGCTCCTCTTCTGGTCTTCGCTGTATCATTCACTGGTGTGTCACATAAACCACATTTTCCGCAGGTGAGCCCTGCCACTCAGTCTCCTGATCACTCCCTACCTCACACTTGACATCCCACCTTCTTCTCCAATCACACCTATTTCTTTTGAAATGCAGCTCAGGCTCATCTTCGGACATTCTTCTTTAAAGCCCATCTTGGAATAAATGCCCTTTCTCTATAGTATTCCCTCTGCACCCTGCACAAAGTCTATCTGATCACATACGTATGCAGTTGAAACCACTCATTTGTGTGCCCGCCTTCTCAGGACTAAATCACAAGCACCTGAAGCTCAGGAGCTGTGACTAACCCATCTGAGTACCTTCTATCAGCTCCCAGAAGGGCATGACACATTACAGGTACCTTAATATGCATCTGCTGAACTCCTTATGATAAGCCTTGAGGTTGATACGAACATCAATTTTTACATTACCCTATCCCACTGGTTTTACTTTAGTGAAAAAAACTTTAAGGAACAAGACAAATCACAGAAATTCATCTTGCTTTTTTTCGGGGGGGGGAGGTAAAGATGGGGGTCTCACCATGTTGTCCAGGCTGGTCTCAAACTCTTGGGCTTAAGCAATTTTCCCGACTTGGTCTCCCAAAGTGCTGGGATTACAGATGTGAGCCACTGTGCCTGGCCCTAATCTTGATGTTATTAACAATTCCAACATATGTTTTGAACACTAGGAAGTGCCTTTATTCACGTTATCTCTATCTCACGTGAGTTTCATAATAAACTTCACTTAAAAGAATTCAGGATACCTCACCCTAGAGCTATAAAATAATCCCTTTACAGCATACATGGGTTCAAATATTCTTGGGACCATAAGAAAGTCAGATCAGCATTTAATTACATCCTGCACAACTGCTTTGTTTTAACGCCATGACCTCCTTGTTCCCTTCATTTTCTTCACATAAGTTTACTCCCTATTTCTGCTTCATTCTCCAACAGCTGCCCTATGTACACCTGCTTTAACATCCTTCTATTCTGAATTTTAATTCAGGATGAAGGTGACTAAGCCAAAAATAATTCAGTAAGAAATATTTCATTCTAAAGAGAATAGCATTTTAGTCCAAAAGCAAATTTTAAAAAAAATCCTGTTTGTGCTACTTCAAGACAATATCAGAACCTTCTTCCAAAGAGCCTTCTCACAGGATAAATGCATTAAAACCGTCTTATGTATGATATCAATATGATGCAGAAAAGGTTTATATTTCAAACTCATTTATAACGAAAATATTTAAAAAAACTGCTTCAGAAAGTTTTCTGGCTACTTCCATGTCAGACTATTAAAGCGTTGGCACAAAACTAAATCTAAAAAATCCACCCTCTCCCTCAATTATGCCATCTGCTTCCATGACAGCAGACTTGCCATCCAAGACATCAGGATGTAGGTCTTCAGCTCCATTACCAGACAAGCACGACGGAAACAAAACACTTCCAACTGTGGAGCTGGAAATTCTGAGTTTGTGCCTCTGTTCTATTAACCAGCTGTATGACCAGAGTAAGTCACATACATTCTCTAAGGTTTTCTCAGGGTAAAGCAGAATTAACAATATCAGTCGTAAGTATCTCACAAAGTTGTTCAGCTCAAATTAGGTAATTAAAGTAAAAGCATTTATAAACCATTATGCTGCAAAAATATAAAATTTTATTATGGCAATAATAAAACCTACCTTGTTAAAGAAAACAGTAAATCCATCTTTCCCAATTCCTAAAGAGTTCAGGCAATGGCCTGTCCTAAGCCAATAGGATTAAAAATACTCCCTCCACTTTTGCAACTTAGAATCTTCTATTATCTCTGCATTCATACAGGTTTGAGAATAACCTACCTGTTTTAGGGTAGCACAATAAGATATCATGGGGGAAAACTTCTGAAACTAATGCACAAGCAGAAAAACAGTCTGTTGCTCAAATTATCAACAATCTGTAAAAATGCCAATTATTTCTGATTTTCTCCTGTTAAAAACATCAGATTTAGGGTGAACTTTCTATCTGCACAAATACTACAGAATGTTTCATTTATATAAATTGTATAATTTTATTCCTGTCTCATGGATAAATATAGCATCTCCTAAGTATCATGAAGTAAATGAAATTATCCATAGAAAATACAAGTAATAATTTTTGTCAGTCTTAAGTGGCTACAACATACAGATACACATGCCCACATACAGAGAACTAGTACACAGAATATCCAACAAGAGAATATTTATCTATTTGGAAAAAAATTGCGAATTTATTTATACTTTTGTTGAAAAAAGGTACAGACAATTCCTGATTTACAATGTCACATTTGCTCTACTTTACAATGGTGCAAAATCAATCTGATATTTACTTTCAGTATAATATTCAACAAATTACAAAAGATTCAACACTTGATCATAAAACAGGATTTGTGTTAGCTGATTTTGCCCAACTATAGGCTAATGTAAGTGCTCTGAGCATATTTAATGTAGACTAGGTTAAACTATGATGTTTGGTAGACTAGATGTATTAAATGCATTTTCAACTTATGCTATTTTCAACTTACAATCATAATCCTGTTGTAAGTCAAGGAGCATTCGTATAACTAAGCTGACTCTGGGAAGCAGTAATTACTATGTCACAAAACTCCGACTTATTTTGCTATTGATCCAAAAACATTCCTTACACATAATGAGAATGTTAAGTGATTAAATTACCCAAATTAGACAGCAGCATTCCAAAAAACTGAAAGCAGTACATTTTAGTAATTGTACTTATATACTTGGGGGATACAATATATAATAAAAGAACAGGGGAATTTTAAGCATGGATCTAATTCCCTATTCTGTCAGGGATGACCAGAAGGATGACCTTGGATAAATTCATCTCTTCGAGCCTCAGTTACACACATATGTAAAAGGATCACAATACCAGCTGTCACTGCTCATTCTCAGTAGAACATTAGAATCTTTGAGATAATCAAGCTTAATATCAATTCAGAACAGATATGTTTATCAGGGGTTCCAAGACCACCTCAGGTTAGTGATTTGCTACAAAGACTCACAGGACTCAGCATACAGTCAAAATCACAGTTATGACTTATTACGGTGAAAGGATACAAAGCAAAATCAGCAAAGAAAAAAGGTGCATGGGCAAAGTCCAGTGGAAACCAAGGCCAAGCACGGGCAGCTGTTAGAGGCAGAGAAGTCATCAGATTCAGCAATCTCAATGGATTGGAGGCAAAAACTGAAGTTCAGAGCTGCCAAGGTTCCTGAAAGAAGGGAGTTGAAGAGATGTGACCCCAGCTCTTGACAGTTTTCCCTTAGAGGCATTTGACAAATTCTTAAACTACATACTACAAGAGGCTGAAAAGCAAAGAATACAGCAGCAAAACAAACAAAACAGAAAATAAACAAGCAACAGAATTTTTTGGCAGTCTCATAGTGCTGAAGAGAGGAGAAGCCCTAGGCTTTCTGTTGTAACCTCTTCAGGGCTACAACTTAGAAAGCAAGGGGGAGTGAACCAAGAGTTAAACAAGTTTCACATATTTTGCAACCAACTTCAAGTCAACCCAGTGGCTCACTGATTGGGGCAATCTGCCCTACTCTAGAAGCCTACCAGAGACTAAAATGAATCTTCTTTGAAGGAAGCTATCTAGAACCACTTCAAGTTTTTATACACAATACCTGACATTTGATCAAATATTACCAAGGATATCAAAATATAGAACCAGGGAAAAAATACCAGCAGAAACATACCCAGGTGGTCCGGTATGGGAGGTATCAGGTATGAACTTTAAAATAATTATGATTAATATGTCCAAAAAAACAGATAACAAGAATTTTACCATCTACTTTCTATTAGCAAATAATCAAATGCAAAGCCTAGATCTGAACAATATATAACCGGAATTAAGAACTCAAAGATAGATTTAAACCTATTTTCTTGGACAGAGCTGAAAAGAGAACTAGTATGGAAGAGATAGGCAAGGAGAAAATTTCCAGACTGAAGTAACAAGAGCAAAAAAGGATAAGACACTGTAAAAAAACTAATATTCACATAAATCAAACCCATAGAGGAGAAAACAATGTGGCAGATGCAACACTGGAATGGCTGGGAATTTTCCCCAAAGAACAAAAGACTCAAGTCACAGATTTAGGAGGAGCTGCACACCCCAAGTAGGATAAATAAAAAACAAAAACAAAAACAAAACAAACAATCCTTAGCACTTAGAAAAATTGCTAAAAACCAAAGGAAAAAAAAAACAAAACTAAAGGTGTCCAGAAAAGACACATTAAAAGTAACAAAAAAAGGCTGACAGTTGATTTCTCAACAAAAACAACAGAAGCCTAAATTCAATGCAGTGGTATCTTTAAGGAGTGAGGGAGGGGGAGGTGGTAGAAGAACCATCCTAGAATTCCATACTAAAGACACAATCTTCAAAAGTGAAGTTGAAATAAGAAGAAAATTTCCAAACAAATAAAAAGTGAAATAATTTATTGCAGACATGCCCTAAAAGAAAACTGAAATGGAGTTCTTCAAGTAGAAAATAATCCTAAACCAAAACACAGAAATTGAGGAAGGAATTAAGAACCATTGAAAAGAAAATCTAAGTGAATACTGACTATCTACAACAGCAATAATGTGCAATTAGATTTAAAATATATGGAGCTCAATCAAAATATATGAGAATGACACAAAGGGTGAAAAGGTAGACAGAATATATCCTAAGATCCTAGCCCTGCCTATGAAGAGGAAAAAGTAATAATTTATATTATACTCTAATAAGCTGAGGATTCATGTTATAATTTCAAAGGCACCACTATAAGAATAGTAAAAGAAAATTGAATAAGCTTATAATGAGATAAAAAATTTAATAACAAAAAATATTTGTATTAATCTCAAAGAAGACAAGGAGAAAAAAGAAAATAAAACAGGCAAAGACAACAGAAAACAAATACAGAAAATTACAAACTCAACTGTAGCAGTAATTCATTAAATGAAAATAGAGTAAATATTCCAATTGAAAGACAAAGATGACTGACTGGATTATTTTTTTAAAAAGTACAATTATAGCCGGGCTCGGTGGCTCAGCCTGTAATCCCGCGCCTTTGGGAGGCTGAGGTGAGTGGATTGCCTGAGCCCGCGGGTTCAAGACCCGCCTGGGCAGCGAGACCTCATCTCTACAATAAATCAAAAAATCAGCTGGGTGTGGTAGCACATGCCTGTAATTCCAGCTACTCGGAAGGCTGAGGCGGAAGGATTGCCGGAGCCCAGCAGGTCAAGGCTGCGGTGGCTGGGAGCAGCCACTGCACTCCAGTCTGGGCGACAGAATGAGACACCAACTCAAAAAAAAAAAAAAAAGTACAATTATATGCTGCATACAAGACCCACATCTTGAATATAAGGACAGAAAAGCTGAGAGTAAAAGGATGGAAAAAGATACATTATGCAAATACTAACCAAAGAAACCTAGGGTAGTTATGCTAATGTAAGACAAAGTAGACTTTAAAGCAAGAAGCATTACTAAAGAAAAATGTTTTATAATGATAAAGGGATCAATCCACCAGAATGACACAACTACTAAAAAGTTCTATACACATACTACAAAACCTCAAAATATATAAAGCAAAAGTTGACAGAACTAAAAGAAGTAGACACGTTCACAATTGTAGAGGGAAACGTGAAAATACTTCTCTCAGTACTTGATAGAACAAGCAGATCAAAAAATCAGTAAACATTAACTTGATTTTAAAACGATGTAAACACTTGATTTTATCAGGAGTAAATGGAATGCTACACTCAGCAATTAAATAATATATACTCTTTTCAAATATGAATATAACATTTACTAAATATGCATTCTTCCTTACACTGGTGTACTTACTATACTCTTATTTTTGAGGTCTCAGATAGATGCATATGTGAAAGATATAACTTCACTCTTCCAAGAGGCTACCAAAAATATATAAATGTTTATAAATATATACAGGAATAAAATTCCTTGTATAGCTAAGTCATAGAGAATAACAATTACTAACTTGATACCTATCTACATCTCAATTATAAGGATCATTTACTTCTCTTATTATAAGACTTGAAGCTTTTGTTATAATCAAATCCTGGAATACTTAAGTGTTTACATCAGTCCCAAACTTATGTTTATGGATTATTTCAATCTCTGTACTTGTGTGTACAAAAGAATTTCATCTACTTGGCACAAACACAAATGGTATACTTTTAGTTACAAGCAACTATGATTTCCAAGAGATTAGAAGTTGTGATATGATCTTCATTTACATGACATGATTTATCTGCCTAGACAATATTCCAGTAGCGATTATAGTTGTAAGAATTTTCCTGAGGCGAGAGGATTGCCTGAGCCTGCCAGTTCGAGACCTGCCTGGGCAACATGGTGAGACCTCATCTCTACAATAAATCAAAAAATTAGCGGGGTATAGTAGTGCATGCCTGTAGTGCCAGCTACTTGGAAGGCTGAGGCAGAAGGATCGCCGGAGCCCAGTAAGTTGAGGCTGCAGTGGCCGGGAGCATGCCACTGCACTCCAGCATGAGCCACAGAGTGAGACTTCAACTCAAAAAAAAAAGAACTTTCTATGTAGCAGCAAATTATTCTTAGAAATGCAAACAAGACTCAAGCGTGTGTATTCTAGCCATCAGAGAGGTCTTTTCTTAAGATTAGCTTGCTTAAGTAGTAATTATATGTTAAAAATAAAATAAAGCATATTATATACCAGCAAAACTTTACTACATAGCTAGATACTAGATATTATTGTTAACATTCGGTTCAGAATTATCTATATTAATTTAATTTTCTTAGAAGAAAAAGTTCCTACATACATATAAATAAGCACTAACTTTACATAAAGAAAATACAGATAACAAGTTAACATTTCATTCTAGTGTTAACATGGTCTGTAGCAATTGTACTACTTTACCAGTATTTCTACCTAGTCTTTAATACTGGGGACAGAATTAGAAATTTTAATCAGAGAATATTATGTTAACTGGTCCACAGACTCACAGTCATTCCATCTGCCTGATTAGGAACATACTCTAACTTTATCAAAATATATCAAATTAGGTTTTTTAGAAGTATTACACAAAATATAGCTAATACTAAGGATTTTAAAGGCTTTCTCTGGCTTATGTCCTATCTATTTTATTAGTTGCATCAGAAACAATTGTCATCGAATTTTCTTATGTCCATTCTATATGCATAAAAAGAAATCAAATACTGTTCCATGTTATAATATGGGTGAACCTCAAAAACATGCTAAGTGAAGGAAGTCAGACACAAAAGATCACACAGTATATGATTCCATTTATATGAAATATCCAGAAAGGTAAATCCAAAGAGATAGAAAGCAGATTAGTGGATGCCAATAGCTAGGAATGACTGCTTAATTGGTACAAAGGTCTCCTTTGCGGATAATAAAAAAAGTTTATGAACAAGATAGAGGTGACTGATAGTCGCACAACACTGTCAACATACTAAATCCACTGAATTGTTCACTTTAAAATGGTTACTTTTAGGCTCTGTGAATTTCACCTCAATTAAAAAAAAAACCTAGGTCCAAATAATGTTTTTGATTATGACAGTAAATAAGCATCATTTAAACATGGGTATATTTTTAAATATGATAAAACATTGAATAGATATTGTTACTTTTCAACTTTACTTTCCTATAGTGTTTTAAACATGTTCAAACTTCAAATATTTCTTCCACAGGCCTGATGTCCTGAAATGTAATCACCACCACAATATCCTAATAAGAACTGTTAAATGTTTTAACAGTCTCATTCTCAAATCATTTAAATGAGGGTTATTGAAATTGTTCAATGGTTCATGCAACAGATAAAATAAAAACACCTTTTGGTAAGTACAAAAATACTATCCAGCTATATGCTATATGAATGAGTCCACCACTATTTCCAGCTTTGACCTAAGGAAAGACATAATACAGACTTAGTATTGCATCAGATTAAATTTTTGTTATAGACTCTAAATCCATCCAAGTTGCTGTGAAGCCCATAATTTTGTCCTTTGTGGCTGCAAAAAAAATTTTATTATAAAACAAACACAACTGGGTAAAATTAAAACTACTTAAGCTTGGTAATTTCCACTAAATGCCCTGGGACTATGAATATTCAACCATGAGCTTTAAAAGTAAGTTCTGTCATTTTTTTAAACACAGTAGATCTAACATAGGCATTTATTTCTGATCTCTTCTCAAATGTCACTAAGATAAC